TAAATAGTACATTTTATACAAATTGTTTTTTACCAAAGAATAATTGAATTTATAAGTACAAGAAATTATTTATGTAAAATATGTAATTAGTAAATGAATAATGAAAAATTTAAGAAAATACTATTAATATTATTCAAAATTGGATGAGACTTTTAAAATGACTAATTATTTGGAATTTAATATAAAATGTTAATCACATATATTGATTTATTGACTGAAAATTCAAAAATTCTTTAATTTATTTTGAATAAAAGTCAACCTTCAAGCATTCTAATACTAGATTAAAAATACTATATAATAATAATTCAGTTATAAAAAAATTAATTGGTATTTGGATTCTGTGATATTTCCTTATCAACTTTAGATACTAAAAGATTTAAGGGATACATAACCGATATGATAATTTATGGTATTATTGTCAAGTTTGATATTAAAGATAAACAGACAGTAAAAAATCTATTGAGGGAATAATTGAACTTATTATTCTTGAAATAATTAAATATATATTGAATTTGAGAGCAATACTCTTTATAAATTCGAATTAAAACAAAATCACAGCTTACTAGCTATTTTATTTTATTTCTTATTTTAAATAAATAAATATTCACATTATTGAATTTCAGAATATAAAATATTAACTATTTAAAGAATATCATACTTAATATTAAATTTATTTTTCTTTTTGCAAGGAAAATATAAATAATTAATAATATTGAAAAACATAATTTATCTAAAGTATTGAAAATTAATTGACATTATCAATACTCTAAATAACACAAAATACTTGCATATAAAAATAAGAATATTTTTTTTTTAAGTAGATCAGTTCGAGTAGGTAAAAAAATTAATTTTTTGAATTTTTGTATTAAACCATATTATTAATAGATATTAATATTATTTTAAGTTTTAAAAGTCTGTGCAATGAGTATAATAATGATAATTGTAAAAAATAAAAAAAATTCTATGTAGAAAATCTAAAAGTGACAATTGATTTATTTCTCTCAAAGTAAATTAAAATGATTAATAGTTTGTAATGAATTTCTCAAAAATGTATATAAAATCTTATTACATCATCAATTTTTATATATATAATATTATTGTTTATAATGTCCGACTACATGTTTAGAGTCTATCTTATTTTAATGAATTGTATATGTAAGTATATCTTATACTAATTTAGTAACTTGGAGTTGTGATCAAGGAAAAGTTTAAATCGATGGCTAATGTCTGGATTGTTCCTCTAATTGTGTAAGTTGTACAGTTCCTTTAACATGTGACTCTTGTATCCCAGGATTTTATCGAAATGTGTTATACAAATGTTCTGCTTGTTCAAGTAATTGCCAAGTTTGTAGTCAATTTTCTTGCTCAACATGCTTTCCAAAGTTTTATAAATCTGGCTCAAGTTGTTAAGCTTGTCCTACTTACTGTGCTACTTGCACATCTAATACTGTATGTTAAACTTGTGTAGATCATTATTTGATTATTGGAACTATTTGCTCAGTTTGTGATACTGCTTGTAAGACATGTTTAGGTACTACTAGTACTTGTACATCATGTGAGGTAGGCAAATATCTTTCAAATTCTTAATGTCTTCCTTGCACAACCCCATGCACTGCTTGCGTCAACAATTCAAATGATTGTACTTCATGCATTGACATTAATTAAACAGCAATCAATTTTTAATGTATTTGCAATGATGGATATTATATTGATGGATCAAATCAATGTTAACTTTGTTAAACACCATGCTCAAAGTGTGAAAATAATGGTAATAATTGTACTGATTGCATCTCTACTTTTACATTAAGTTAGAATATACAATACAAATGTGAATGCTCATATGGTTATTTTTAGTTTGATTCTCAAACATGTTAAGAATGCGTAAGTCCATGTTAAACTTGTGAATAGAGTGAAAATCACTGTTTATCTTGTGTTGATAGTAATTAAATAGTAAATAATTCATTTTTTTGTGAATGTAATACAGGTTGGATTTTAGATACTTATGGTATCACATGCATCAAATGCTAATTACCATGTTTAGATTGTGCAGATACAATAAATAAATGTCTTACTTGTAATGATCCAATACATTAATAAACTGAGTCTTGTCAATGTGAGCCTGGATGGATATTTGATGATAATTACTTTTGCATATCTTGTCAAGAGCCATGTAAAACTTGTGAGATATTTACTACTAAATGCTAGACATGTGTAGATACTAATCATGAACTTAATAACAAATCATAATGTGTTTGTAAATCCACTTATTATTCTGATAGTCTAATCACACGTGCAAAGTGTTAAGAACCATGTTATGAATGTGATATAAATGGATACATCAACTGCATAGATTAAAATCAAATCTTAGATTCCAATAAATAGTGTATTTGTAAATCTGGATATCTTTAACAAGAGGTTTGGTGTCTTCAATGTTAAAATCCATGTTCTACTTGTATCAATACTGTTAATGAATGTGTAACATGTTAGGATCAAAATTAGATAATCAAAGATTATAAATGTTTATGTAAAGAAGGGTTTGTGAATAAGGGAGACTTTTGTTGTGATTAATATTGCATAGATTGTTAAGGAATAGATAATTGTAATAATTGTATAGAAGGATTCTATTTATCCAATATTAATAGATGTTTAAAATGTATTGATCATTGTGATATTTGTTATAATCAAATAAATTGTGAAATTTGTTAAGATGGATACTTTATTAATGAATCTAGATTATGTGAAGAATGTATACCTTCTTGTAATATTTGTGGCAATTCATTTAGTTGTGATGTATGCTTAGATGGATATTACCTAGTGAATTAGATATGTGAACAATGTAATCAAAATTGTTTAACTTGTAATGAATTATCTGAAAAATGTCTTACTTGTAAATCCAACTATTACATTAATTCAAATAATAAATGTATCTGCTAAGTTGGATACTATGAATAATAGAATTCATGCTATAGATGTGAATACCCATGTAAAACATGTTTAAGTTAAACTATATGTTAAGAATGTGTTCTCTTAACTAATTTATAATTAGATTTGAATTTTTAATGTAATTGCAATTCAGGTTATTTCTGGAATAAAAACAATTGTTCTTAATGTTATTAATCTTGTTTAACTTGTATTGATAATTAATATAATTGTCTGAGTTGTAATTAAAAATTACATCGTATTTTAGTAAATAATAAATGTTTATGTGATTAAAATTATTTTGAAGGTGAAGATGGAGTTTGTATTTCATGTTTAGATTAATTGGGAAAATCTTAGGAAAGTTGTAAATATTAAGATTGTAAAGATTAAATTTGGACTTATGGAGAAGAATGCGATGATGGAAATGATGTAAATAGAGATGGTTGTTCTAATTGTAAGATTGATCCTAACTACTCTTGTTCTAATGAAATACTAAATTAATCAATTTGTTTTCAATGTTCAACTAATTGCATAAAATGTTAATTAAATCCATTAACAAAAAAATCTAAATGTATTAAATGCCAAATTGGATATTTCTTAGATAAAAATGATTGTGTTGAATGTTCAATCAATTGTTTAGAATGTCTTGATTAAGCTTATAATTGTATAAGTTGTAAGTTTCCACAATAGAAAAATAATAAATGTTAACTTTGTGAATCAGGATATTATGCAGATGAGATAAATGGAACATGTTTAAATAAATGTGGAGATTAAATTAAAGTAAATGAAGAGCAATGTGATGATGGAAATCTTATTAAAGATGATGGGTGTGATGATTAATGTAAACTAGAAAATAAGTATATTTTTCTAAATGGTGTAATTATTATTAGATTAGACATTTACATCATATCATACCAAATTATCCAAAACCATTATTCTAGAGTGTAGGAACTTAATAGATTTACTCTGCTACCAGATTATTTAAATTATCATACACTACTCCCATCTTTATAACTGATGATTTTCAAATTAAAGATTATCTATCTTTTCATATATAGAATAAAGAAAATGTTTAATAAATGGATCAGTCTATTAATCTCACTCAAGATAATTCTTTGATAAATGAGTTTAATTAATCTCAATTAATTTTGATGATTAATATTACTTTCTCAAGAAGTTCACAAGATGAAATCTTATTGATCAAATTCTTAAATAATTCAGTCATTTATTCAAATGAAGGATACTTTCAGATTGAAACAGAAGTGTCTTGCAGTATACCAAAAGTGACATATATTGATGATGTAACCATTGCTCAAGTGTAAATTGCAACAAATAGTAACACCTATATACTCTATTTTATTGGGGCAATGTGTGGTGGATCAGTCTTATTGGGAGGAGTTGAAGTCTTCTTTAATTTGTTAGATACTCTTTAAATGTTATCTTATTTCAAATACATTAACACATAACTTCCATATAATTTATAAACCTATTTTCAACTTTTTGGATTTGCTTAATTTAACTTTATTTAAAAGATTTTTGATTTATCAGGATTTATTGATTAAATACTGAAAACATAACAATTAAAGAAGATACCCACGAAAGTAGCAGGTGATAATTTAACATCATTATTTATTATTAATGCTGCAACAATTACTACAGTTTGGATTTCTTTATTTGGTATCTATGCAATTGCAAAATTGATACCTAAAATTCTCTATTCATTTAAATTTAAGTTTTTTTCTGAATCAGAAACTGAAAATTCTTGGCTTGTGAAAGTTGGAGTATACTATTTAACTATTAAGTATATCATTAATAGATTGTGCTTTACTATTATTTCAGAATTCTTTTATAGTGGTATCTTACGTGCCCATATGGCCACTGCATATGATTTTACTTTTAGTATAGTACTGTAATTGTATGCCTTAGAACTTAACTCAACAAATTTCTTTATAAGATTTAGTTCATTATTAGCATTTTTTGCAAGTGCAATATATATTATTAGTATCTATTATGTAATTCAAGTATCCTAAATGAAGAAATATGCTTTGAATAATAAAGCAATCTAAGCTAAATATGGATGTATTTTTGATGGAATTAAGATCAATCAATTTTCCAAATATCTTAATACAATTCTTCTAATCAAAAAACTTACCTTTATGTTTTTATTAATTTTCGCATATGAGTTTCCAACTTTTCAAACTGTCAGCATTACACTTCTATCAACATCTATGAGTCTATTTTACATCTTCTTTAATCCATTAAAGGATAAATTGGAGTATTTTAAATAGTTATTTAGTGAAGTTAGCATCTCTTTTACGTTATTGAGTATTACAATATTGACTTGTGATTTTGAATTAGTATATTTTTCATATCAAGTTCGGTAATATTTTGGATGGGGTTGCATTTTTTTTATGACCTTAGTATTATGTATTCAATTAGCGATTGATGGCTTTTAATAATGGAAGTTTCTTTTTAAAAAGTATAAGCAAATTAGAGGATTGGCTCAATCAATACTTGGAGTATTTTAAAAAAACAGACAAGTTACTGCACAATCTTACATTTTCTAATGATACAAGTTATTCATTTATGTTATCAATAATTGATTACAATAATAATTTTATACTTTATTAATATATATCTATATTTTTATTTATTTATTTAAATGTATAGAGTGATAAAATTAAATAATTAAATTGATTTCTTGATAATTAATCTTAAAATTTATTAACTTTATATATTTTCACACCATTTTTCAATGATCAATAAATAATACTAAGAAAGATTTTCCACAATTTTGAATAGACTATATTTAGAAATTTTTAGTAAATTAAAACCATATTGAGAAAATAGTTGCTATATTAGTTATTCTTTTTTGAATTGACAAACTATCATAATACCAAAAATATTTTTAAAATATTATTTCAGGAAAATTACAGAAACATTAATTTTTCAGTTATTTCCTTTATCTGAAAACATGATCCAGCCTTGAATTTTTTCGATATATTGAAAAATTGAATTAGATGAAGCATAACAAATTTTAAATGATAACGCTAATTCAGAGTATCAATCTCAAAATATCTTAATAAGATGAGGAATGTTCAAAGCAATATTATCATATTTATGATCTTAAATTATTTTAAGAATAAAACAATTATATTAAATATTCTTTCTAGTTATTTTATAAGCTAATATAAAGAAAGTTTTAATATATTATTAATTTGAAAAAGATTTATAAGGATATTATAACATAAATAATTTTGGCACTCCTATTTGTGCAGCAGTAAGCTACTAAAATAGTTAGCTTCAGACTTCTAACTAAACAGTGTTATTAATTCCTATTCTGTGGCTTTTGTATAAAGGTTGGCTTTGAAAACAAGAAATTCTATTAAACTTTTTAATTTATTTAGATTTATTTCACTGTTTAAAAATCAGAGATATATGTAATAGTTATTTCAATCACACTTAAATCTACTTAGAACAATAATACAAAAATTTGAATGCAATTAATTTTAAAGGAAATCTATTTTAAATTAGTTATTAATCATGTAAAATAGAGGAAAAAAATAAAATCAAGTTGATGGACATTCTAAAATGCATTTAATTTATTCAATGCAAGATTTACTATTTTTTTTAATTCCATTTTGAGTTACTTGATTTCTATGCCAAAAAAGAAATTTTATCTAATTCAAAATTTTTAACACATCTTTTTAAGTTTGATTAGGTCTAAATTCTTCTCTTTTAAGAATAATTTATTTATTACATTCTTATTTAGTTATCTTAATTAATATTAATTTTAGGTTTAATTTTATTTTATAAAGTAAGTTTAATTTTATTTTATAAAGATCTGATAGGATCTGATTATTCAACTTCCAAATCTTATGATTCTAATTTTCCATTATCTGAATCAAAGTTCTTTGGTTGCGTTCTTTTTAGATTTCATATTATTTAAATTCTATTATTTTCTGTAATATTTACAAATTGAATAAAAATTAGTTAAAAACTTCAAAAAAATTATATTATGTTTAAATAAACTAATAAATTTTTTTTAATTCTTGTTTAGAAGTATAAATAGAGATTAGAAGGTTATTGATATGAAAATTTGTATAATAAGGACGGAGATAAATTGCAGCAAATTAATTGAAATAAAGAATAAAAATTATTTCTTTCTTGCTAATTAATACATATAATTAAGTATTTTAATTATCGAATTTTATAATTTATAAGCAAATCTTTATTTGGTTTAAATTTGCATAATAAGTTTATTAAAATTTGTATTTTAAACATTTTATTGTATAATTGATATGAATTCTATATCTGATCTCAATCAGCAATATGATATTCTAATTTTTATTTTGCCTCTGTTTCTTATTTAGATAAACCTTTATACATTATGAATTATCGATATAATCTCATTATTTTCAGAATCAACTATAAAAATATTTAAAACTATTTTCATTATAAAACTATATTCTCAACTATTTATAAGAAATATTTCATTTGTAAATTCAATGTTTTTTCTTGATTATGCTTTTCTTCGTTTGATTTAAATATTCTGGTCTGAAAATGTATTGAAAATATTTCTTATTACTATAGTATTCGATAGCTATTTCATTTGTTAATATTCTTCTTGATTGATTTATTGCACTCTCCTTCCAATAAAGCTGTAAGTATAAAAAATGGAAGCAAAAAAATCTTCACCAGATATGCAATAATAAGATTATCTTCAAATCACATCTCCAATAAATATTTATTATATTAAATAAAGTAATTCATATTCATTTCAGCCCATTCATTAACTAATATTATGGAATAATATGGATGGAAATTTGATCTCAATTTATGATTAGACCTAAAACAATGACCTTTAATAATTCAAATTTCATAACGAGGAAGTTCAATTTTATTAATCATATAATAAGATATGCTAATAATAAAAGTGCAAGACAATTACTGGTTGATATGAAGGGATAATCATGATTTATTAACTTGTTAAAATTTAACTCTAAATCAAAATCATCTCTATTTATAGACTATCTTATACATGGCTATCAAAGATTTTCTCAACAGCTCGAACCAAATTAAAATCTGATTTTTTCATGAATTTTCAATCAACTAAGAAAAAATATATTTTCACTCTATTTGTCGGTTCAATCCTTATACAATTGACCTTTTAATAAATATTTCAAATACTTTAATTAAGGAATTTATAAACCATATGCCATTCAAAGTATTATGGGTATCTGGAATATAGTGCTCAATTCAAATCCTATGTTAGTTCCATAGATACGATGCCAAAATAATTCTATCACAATCTCTGTTGAAGTTTTTGATAGCTTCAGGTTAAGTTGTAATTATATTGTGTTTATATCTTGATAGGGAGTTTAAAGAATGAAGAATAAATATCTCTGAAACTTTTTTTTATCTCTCCTTGATGATTCTGACCCTACATAGGACTTTNATTATCGATATAATCTCATTATTTTCAGAATCAACTATAAAAATATTTAAAACTATTTTCATTATAAAACTATATTCTCAACTATTTATAAGAAATATTTCATTTGTAAATTCAATGTTTTTTCTTGTATTATTTGATTATGCTTTTCTTCGTTTGATTTAAATATTCTGGTCTGAAAATGTATTGAAAATATTTCTTATTACTATAGTATTCGATAGCTATTTCATTTGTTAATATTCTTCTTGATTGATTTATTGCACTCTCCTTCCAATAAAGCTGTAAGTATAAAAAATGGAAGCAAAAAAATCTTCACCAGATATGCAATAATAAGATTATCTTCAAATCACATCTCCAATAAATATTTATTATATTAAATAAAGTAATTCATATTAATTTCAGCCCATTCATTAACTAATATTATGGAATAATATGGATGGAAATTTGATCTCAATTTATGATTAGACCTAAAACAATGACCTTTAATAATTCAAATTTCATAACGAGGAAGTTCAATTTTATTAATCATATAATAAGATATGCTAATAATAAAAGTGCAAGACAATTACTGGTTGATATGAAGGGATAATCATGATTTATTAACTTGTTAAAATTTAACTCTAAATCAAAATCATCTCTATTTATAGACTATCTTATACATGGCTATCAAAAATTTTCTCAACAGCTCGAACCAAATTAAAATCTGATTTTTTCATGAATTTTCAATCAACTAAGAAAAAATATATTTTCACTCTATTTGTCGGTTCAATCCTTATACAATTGACCTTTTAATAAATATTTCAAATACTTTAATTAAGGAATTTATAAACCATATGCCATTCAAAGTATTATGGGTATCTGGAATATAGTGCTCAATTCAAATCCTATGTTAGTTCCATAGATACGATGCCAAAATAATTCTATCACAATCTCTGTTGAAGTTTTTGATAGCTTCAGGTTAAGTTGTAATTATATTGTGTTTATATCTTGATAGGGAGTTTAAAGAATGAAGAATAAATATCTCTGAAACTTTTTTTTATCTCTCCTTGATGATTCTGACCCTACATAGGACTTTGAATATTAGCCTACCTGTCTGGGATATAGAATGAATCAGTGTATGATTTTTGGATAATGAATGCTGAATCAAATTATTTGATATATTACTTCATATTCATCTTTCTTCTCCAAGTGTATTCTCAATTAAAAGAATATCGGTTTTATTTAAATGATCTAAAGTCTTATTTTTGTGGTGCTAAAATTCACCAAGGCTTGAGCTATTTTACAAGAGTTCATAAGTTTTGAAGAATGGCAAAACCTGTGTGAGTGTATCCCCTTGAGCTATTAAGGGTACTAGATGATAATCCTAACCTTTAAATAGTTGAAATAAAGAAACCTAATTAAGAAACACACATGCCATCACACTATACAATATTAGAGATACCTGACTCCAAGAAAGAACTATAAAAGGCTTTAAAAGACAGAAATTATCCTAAAAAATTTTTTTTATTGATTAACATATTCTGGTCTTGGTCTTGGATATAAATAGGAAGTACAAGTATTTTTTAATTCAATAATGGTTCTTATTCTTATTTTACTGTTTTTTTTGGTATTTAGAGATTCGAAATCACTCTCATCTCTTAGTATTTGATCACTTCTTCTAATCTAAAATATTTAATTAGCTAAAATTGATAATGGTCATAAAAAAATGCTTTATGGCGGTTCAAACAGATTTCTAATATTTTTTCTTAAATAAAAAGTATTTGATTGAACTTTACTTATTAGTTTTGTTTCAAACAACCCTAAAATATCATATATTTGATATTTTCTATCTTAACTACTTCAATTTTTCACTTTTGGAGTATTTGTGATTTTTTCTATAATTTAAACTAGTTCATTTCTGTTTAACAAAATTGTTTTATACTAATCACCACATCAAGAGTTTATATTCTTTAAATTTTTCACAAATTCTTAGTAAGAACTCTTTTTAAGTTGGTTCAAACAAATTATTGTTAAAATTAAATTTAATATTATTTATTCAGCTTTAATTTAAAAGAATTTGATTAATAATCTTCCCAAATATTCAATTTAAAAAGCTTCTCAACTTCAAAAATATTTACTGAATTTGAGCTCAATTTATTGATTTAAATGATAATTGAAAATGATTTTCAAGATGATATGAATTTTTCCAAATATAACTTTCATGCCTTTTGAACCAAAAGATTGTCTTTTTGTATACATAAACATTTAATAGAAAAATACAGAATGTAATTAGACAATAATTAAATAGTATAATAAATACAAAAGATGTCGATCCATTTCTTATAGTCAACGTTATATATTAAATCCCATTAATTATATTCATTTCCTTAAATTTAGCTATAAAATTTATAGCATTGATTTTTAAATATAATTACTTTAATCTAATGGATAGACAGCATTTATTATTTCTCCAAAAGCTATTAATTGATATAAGCTAAGAAGATTTATCCTTGAAGTATGTTCAATTAATAAATCATATCTTTAAAGTATTAAAGGATGTTTAAAATTCTACACCTTTACTAAGTATTATATATTGTTAAACATTAATTTAAATTTACAATAGTCAGAGATCTTTTGATTGATTATATTAGTAAATTACAGTGTATTATGGATTTTGTTCAATTAATTCTATATTATGAACCTGATGCAAAATGAAACTTAAATCCTTTTGAAATACTCAAAGAAAAAAGACTCACTCATTTCTGATTATCTATAAATAATCTATTACCCAACTTGGTGCCTTGGTTTTTATTTCTTATATATAAACAACGATTTATTCACCCATTAATATTTGCAATCAATTATATAGATCAAATGAAAACCCTTTTTTTATTAATCGATTTAAATTTTAATAAGGATAAGTTTTGTGCATATTAATTCTCATATGTCTTATTGTCTGAATATAGAAGTCTTAAAGAAAACATGTTCACTAATTGAATTGCTTTTATTGATATTTTTTCTTTTATATCTGAAATAAGTTTCATAATATAAAATTTCTCTAGTTAATCAATTGAAATGTTGGCCCTATAATAGGAAACTATCTATAAAAATTCAGCAGACTGTTAATCTAAATTACTTATTTTAAGTAAATAGTGCGTTAGTTAATTAAGTAATTTATTACGATCAAAAACAACTCGTATAATTTTAAATATCAATTTTAATAGAAGTAGGAAATGTAAATTAGATGTACTTAAGCGGGTCATCAAAATCAATAAATAATCGGGTTTTGTATAGATAGTACATGCCCAAATTAAAGACCTTATTGTAATTTTTGTTTGCCTCTCCATAGCGAACATCTTGAAATGTTAACATCCATAGAACTTTTGTTTGAATGGATTTAGAATGGAATCCTTAGGATTAAAAATGTTGAGAAGAATGTTTAAGAGTTTAAAGTCGCCCTTGATAGTCTTAATAATATGTTCCTTCCTTATCTTAACTTTGATATTTAACAATTCCCATAATTAGAAGGATCGCAGATTGACAAATTAATTGAAGATTTATGTAAAATGGAAGATTGTGAAAAAAATTTATTCAAATAGCTTAAACAATCAATTGAATAAGGAAAATTAATTGTAAACGAAATAGTGAAAAAAATACAGAATTAATTTTCTTTGGAGTAAAATGATGGTATATTCAAACCAAACCTAAAACCATTTACATATGAATAAATAAAAGATAATTCTATTAAATATGATGATGATTGTTATGCAATTGCTTATAATAAAGATTGTTAAATTGTAGCACTTGGTTGTAATAAACAAATAAAAATATATGAATTTAAGCAAGGAATTTTGGAATTACTACAAGTCTTAAATGAACATTCTAAATGGGTAACCACTTTATATTTCATGAAAAAATCAAATGAATTGATATCTGGAGATGGTGATGGATATATTAAAATTTGGTCAAGAAATAATAATAATTAATGGAATTGCTCATAAACTATTAAAGCACATAATGATTGTATTCGATGTTTAATTATGAATAATAATGAAGATATTTTTATATCTAGTAGTGATGATAATACTATTAAATTTTGGAATAAATTAAAGGAATGGATGTGTTAATAAACTATCACAGATCATACTTTTTATGTTTTTTAATTAAGTTTAAATGATTAATAAAATAAAGTTATTTCTTGTGGATTGGATAAACAAATATTAATAATTGAATATTCTGAATACAATAAAAAGTGGATTGTAATTTAAAATATTAATGTTGAATGTCATGGATATCGAATATGCTTTATCAACAATAATTAATTCATATTTCAACCTATATAAGGCAATAAGATGCATGTCTATGAAATGAATAGTGTAAATAAATAGTTTACTAAAACAAAAGATATTATTATAAATGAATGTAATGGTAATTAAGGTGGATTGTTTTCATTATAGTTTATTAAATCAAAATAATTATTAGTGAATAAGTATGATAATTGTGTCAATTTAATGAGAAAGGCATAAAATGAGGAATTTATAGTTGAATAATCTATTCAATTTGGTAATTATTGTATATATGGGTAAATGAGTGATGATGGAGAGTATTTGATAACTTGGGATAAATCATCTAAAGAAATATAAATCAGGAAATATTAAGAAAAATGAAAATTATTTATTTGGATATGTTATTAAATAATTTTTTTTTTTATTTAATCCTACTCAAATTTTATAAAAATAGACATATTATTTCTGACATTTCTTTTATTTTTAAATTAAATCAATATATAAATTTTTAAAAGACTTTTAGCTTCAATATTAACATTAATTCAATACTGCCAAAAAGTTAAATTACATCATTACGGTTTGTTTTAGAATTAGAATATTATTAGGAGGACTGTTCAAAAATTAACAAGCAATTTATTAATCTCAAAATTATATCTGTAAGGAAAGCAATGGTGTCGGTTTTATTGATTAGTCATCAATTAACATCAATTGATAAAAGGGTTCCAGTATTACAGTTCCATATCTTATTCTGTAACTTCATACATAATGATTGAAGAAATATTGATTGCCTTTGATTATATATTAAAAATAGTAGTATATGTTAATTCACCTATTGAAAAATCTACACATAGGCTTTAGGCAACAATATAAATTATTGGTAGTTTAGTTTAACCAACATAGTAGAATAGTTTAAGATGACAATAAAAATATTGATCCTAATTATCTATGTATCCTAAAATATAATATTGATTTAAAAGGCTCCTTTAACATATTAGTACACGGACTGGATGAACAAGATTTAATAGATTAGTTTTCAGGCTATTGGTTTCATTAATTCGCAAATATTTGATATGTAGGACTATGAAATATTATTAAGATACTCTTTTACTCATGCATATTTGCTTGTGAAGGGTTATTTAACTATAGTTCTTGATTTATCTGAATCAATTAGAATTAAATCAGCAAAGGTAAACTTTAGAAGCAATTTCAAAGAATTAAAGTATTGCATTCACCATTCTAGAAATAATCTTGTGCTTTCTATTATTAATTCAGTTTCTATAAAATAAATATTTTCTTAGATTTCGTAAATCTATTCTTTTATGGCATATTAAGGCTGGAAAAATAATTTAAGTCAACATCAATTATAGTGATGTTCTTGTACAATTTCATAAAAGTCCTTATTCAAAAAGTCGTATCTATATTGTTATTTTTTTACTTTCCAAACCTATTACTATTATTCGGATTTTCCAATCACCAATATTGTAAGTGGAAGGAACTTTGGTTATTAATGGAGAATTTCTTAATTACTAATCTATTGATTTAAAGTCTTTATTAAAATCTAAAGGAAGTATCTTTTTGGAAAACGAATTACCATCACAATAAAACAGCAATAAAAATTGTATAATATCATGAAAAATATAACATAATTGAATTAGTTTTACTATTGTTTTTTTATATTGAAGTTGCTTTTACTAATGTAAATGGATATATTTTTAATGTCTTCCTAAATTTTATTATTGTTTTTATTCCATTTTAGTACTTAAATATACTTTTAGCATATTTTAGGGTTTGGAATCATATATACCCTAACACTATATCTTGTGTTATCAGCAAATATGGTTCTCATATCAATTAACCATATGTTGTAATTAATATCATTTTAGAAACTGAAGAACATTTTAGTAAGTAATTCAACAAATTCAATAAGTAGATTCCCAAAAATTTACTGAAAACAAACTAAACTAGATGAAAATTATTTTTATAGTTTATTTTTCAATCTCATACATACAGAACCTGCTGCTATTTTTTAATTTGCTGCAAAAAGTTATTTATAAAGGTTGACCATTACAAAAATTAGTGCTAAAATTTGGAGGATTTATTCTTCTATTCAAGACTAGAATTAGATGATATTACATCAAAAAATTTTGATATCTTTGGTTATCTAGACCAAATTATTTAATCTACTTAAATTAGATACTTTTTGATATTATAATCCAATATATTAAATAAAAAAGTTTATTATTTTAATCTACACGATAAATAAAGATAAAATTTATATATGTTATAAATAATAAACTAAAACTGAAAAATAATTTTTCTGTTGCATAGTAATGCTTTATAAAGAATAAATTGGAGAGGTTGAATGTGTTATAAAAAAAGTTATAAATGATTTTCCTTCTCTACTTTTACAGCAGGAGCTTGCTCATCTTTAAAAAGGACCTAAGTCGTATTCTAATAATATCTGCCTGTACATTGTACTATAAATGGAATATATTTAGCATCCTATGAATGGTTCAATAAATAAGAAAGTATAGGAGTATTCTCAAACAATTAATTATTATCCCTTAAACAATAATACATGTACTTCTTAGTTGTCCATAGGTCATCAGAACATGTATATTTTATTTTTGAAAGCATTACAATTATCTCATTTGAATTTTCAACACTGCCATCACTAATAATCTTTACTTCCCCTAAAGTGTTTGCATTCACTTATTTGAATTGTAATAAATGGTTTTATACATTTGCTACTAAGTGTTCAAATACGCCATGCATAAAATGATACTAGAATATTATTTTCAAATATACCAATTAAAAGCAATCCTGCTAAAATGTATGGCAGTTTGAATACTGATGACATTCAACATATTTTTCAGTATAAACATTTACTTTAGACAAAAATTTTAATTTACATTAAACAGAAATGTTGGAAAATTCTTTTGGAATCCAACCATTAAGAATTGTGTTAATTTTGCTAATAGACAAATAAAATTTTTCTTTGACACTCATTAATTTTGTAAATGAAAATAAATGGCAAAGAGTTGCATATTAGATACTTTTAATTAAGAAAGAAAGCATACCTAATGCAAAATATTGAGTTACTAGAGGAACTTGTTTCTAAAATATTCTAGTGGTTGATATAGTGTATTAATCACACAAATATGTATATGATACAAGTCTGTCCCCTATTAATTATTTTACAAGATACTTGTTGGGAAAATTAAATCTAACAATAGGTGTTAGAATCCATTTATTTTATTATAAATTTAGATTACCACTTTTGTATAATATAATTACTTGTTAAAGTGACATTATTTATTGATAACCTAAATTCTAAATTTCCAGGTTCCATATCACCTAAAGAATGATGTATAAAGACTTAAGGAATAATTTAAATGCTCCGTTGAATTCAATCTGCTTTGATTATTAATAGGAATTTTGACACACAAAGCTTGAATGTGTAGTGTTATAAACTATTATTAATATTTTTAAAATTGATTAAAAATAATAAATAATTACATTTATGCATTTTTAGACCTTGTAATAATTCATTTTATTATTGAATTACAATAGAATAACCAAGCAGAAGTGGAGTTAAAAACTAAAAATTAGGAAATCAAAAAAATTATTTCTTAGCACATTAAATTATCTTTGATTTATCAATTTTATATAACATTTATTTAATTTTATGACTATTATTAACATCCTGAATTAAATAAAGTTTTCTAATATGTATTTAATTAAACGAGATAAATTTGTATTAAATTGAAATTCTATCAAATAGATATATGAACATAATGCATACTTTAATCTAAACACTGATATATTATTCTACATAAATTATAATAAAACAAATTAAAATATATATATTTTTAAATTAATAAAATAATAGATAAATATGAAATCAAAACCATTTATATATTCAATAAGAAATAGGAAAAGAGTAAAATTAAAGTCTTGGTAAAATGCCATAACTATAATAATAATAATACATTTATGATTGTTGCTTCTGATATGAATATTTTAACCTTTTAATTTAAAAATTGAATAATCAAATAGATCATTTTAATCTAAAAACTTTTCAAAGATATTACAACCTAATTTTATTTTAAAACAGAAGACTCAATTTATTTCAAGTTCATTAGATAATTTGCATAATTATATATCCATAAAATCTACCATCTAATTCTAAATTCATAATTAAATTAAATAGAAATCCTTAAGTTCTTTATTACTTCATCCAATCTGAGAATATCTCATTATTTGTTTATCACACAATATAATTTACTTTTGGTCTTCTTCATAGAGATTATCTAATATAAATTAGTCATTTATTTATTTATNCATACTATCCTATTCGGTCAGATACATATCTTCATTTATAAAGAAAATTACTAATTATTTGATATCCACATAGTTCTATTAATATACAAAAACAAGTGTCCTTTGTAATATATTCTAATATAAAATTTCATAATAGATATTAAAATCTGATTCTTAATATAATATTTTCTTAATTTGATTGTCTATTAAATTCTAAAATAAATGTAGTAATTCTTTTTCTTAAATACTCATCACGAGTTTATCGACATTATTTTCTACTTATTTTATTATTAAGGCTATGAGAAATTTATAATAAACTTTCTATCATGTTTATTGTATGAAAAAGTAGATATAACAAAAAATAAACATAATATTAATAATAATAATATGATCTCTAATTAAGTAAAGATAATATTCAAGACGATTCTCTTTGTAATTTATTTACTAGAAAAATAAAAAATAAAAAATTTTATATTTTGTTAGTATTTCAAAAATGAGATTTATAAATCAAGACTATTGATTAAGCAAATTAATTGAATATATTTCATGCATTTATTCTTTGTTAGATCTTGGATTTACCTACAAAAAAAAGATCATTATATCGGAATCAATTTTTTTCAAATATCTAAACATTATTGAAATCTAATGGTATTTAATTTAATTTTAGAGCATATTTAAATATCATATATATTTTTTTACAAATTAATTTCAATTAAAAAGATTTTAATTATTAATAATATATAATTTAATTTTTTATTATATAAGAAGAGAAAGAATTAAAAGTTTATTGGGTGATAATAAAGAAAAATTAAAAGAATTGTATGATTAAAACTAAGATTTAATATTTGAATCAAATATTTTTTTCAAAAATTTAATAATATTAATTGTTTAATTCTATATAGAGTTAAAATAGGTAAATGTCAAAGATTCATTCTGGTGTTGAATAAGATATGCTGGTTTTATAATATTCAGAGAATTTTATGTTTTATTGGTTGGCAATATTCATTTTAAGTAATATTATGAATAAAAAGTTACTAATTGACTTAAGTAATTTTTTTATTTAATCCTGTTTACTTTATGTAGAATATTAAAAAAATTGTAAGAAGTATTGATGAGAAAATAAAGTTAAATCCAAGCTCTATATTTGAAGTTCTGTTAATTACATTCAATAACATGGTTAGTAGAGAATAAAAATATGATGAAAAAAGATGAAAGAAGGATTGAATAATCTGTGAAAGATTATTTCTATTAGTTATTTATAGATTTTATTAATAAATGATGTTAATTTAAAGTAGATATTATTAGTTTTTGTAAAGAATTTAATTGAAAATTTTATAAATTTAAAGGGTGAGAAAATTACACTTATTTTTTCTAATCTAAAATACCCTTAATGAATTAGACAAAATCCTCGAAACTTGAAGATGGTGTAATAGATTATCCAAATGATATAATGTTTTCATTATTATCAAATATGTCTACAAATATTAAGTTTGTTTTGATGTTTGAAATCTAAAAGGAATGAAAAAGTTCATTTATTATAAAATTCAATATACCTTAAAACTAATGCTAGTAATGCATTCAAATTTTTCTAAAGAATAAAGGTTATTGTGTTGAAATTTTATTATTTTGTTAATTCATATTTTAGAAATAGATTGATAATGCCTTTTAGTAGTTAATTGCAGTCGCAATCACATGTTAAACAAAAGAATTCCACTTATCCTGATTTTCGACATTCAACATCTGCGGTGCTACTTAACTTAAAAATTGTGACTATTTAAATTTTGTAAATCTCATACTTTGATTTCTCTATAAATAAATAAATTATTCTAAAGATTATATAATAATAACTTTTTATCGAAAAATCATATTTTTGAAAGAAATATAGTTATATATAATAGGAATTTAAAAAAAAATCTCTTACAGACAACTTATAATATAGAAATTGAATAATTATTGTTTACAATTTTAATAATATGATATTTTAGATCTACTATGCCTCTTCTTTATGACAATTTTAATTTATGTTATTATAACTGACTAACGAGACACTAATGATATGTAATAGATTTTATTTTTTATCTAAAATACAATCAATTTATTTTTGATTTTAAATATAGTAAAAGAACAATAAAAAATTCATAAAGGTAGTTTAATCAAGCAATTGTTATTATAGAATTAAATGAATTTCTCTTTTAAAAATAGATATAGCTTAGAATTATACTCATCAAGCAGAAAAGTTAAATCCTAAAATATTTTTTGTGTAATTGGCATATATCCTATTATGTAATTAATTTATCATTGAAATATGCTAGAATTATGAACATATCTCAAAGATATAATTTTATTCCTTCTTCCTCTATTAAATCTAATTTATTAATAATTTAATTCTCAGGAATTATGATTTCATAATAATCCTTCAAATATATTTTTTTCAAAAAAGATAATTTGAATTTTTTATATACCCTTCATACATTCACATGTCTGCTTTTTCAATCAATTAAATCCTTTAAAGAAAATCTATTAATCTAATTACAGTACTATTTTTAAGATGTTTTTTATAAATAAGGAGAAATGAAGTGATAAAATTTAATTAAAAGGGCTAATTCTAATACTATGTAACTTAATATAGATTTAACTTTTAAATAGTTTAATTAAATAAAGCTTTGAACTATTTTGTACTGATAATTTTTAATTTATTTAATATCATTACTTAAATCAAATGTAGGAGTTTTATAAAATAAAAGTTAACATATCTTCTTAACATTGCTTATTTTTGGTTAAAAATAGCCAAATCTGGAAAATGGTTTGGATATAAATAACGTACATGTAATATAACATTAATACATTAAAATGAAAATTATTCTGAGTAATCTAATAAAAATAATAATACCTTGGGCAATATATAATAATATTAAGTTTCACTTAAATATTGAGATTTAATAAATTTGAACAAATTCAACCATATTTTATTTTCATTTATATAATAATATATTATTTTCTGTTTATATTAATCAAAAAGTTTGCCATTTTTTTATTATTAAAAATAACTTATGATTTTAGATAATGCAAAATAAACATAGTAAAAATGCGTAAATACAAATCATTCGATCACAACTTTAAATAAAATGCCTTTAGATATAATTTGGAAAAATAATAAATAATAGTTCTTTTGAATCATAATGATTTTGATTATCAAATTTTATTTTTTATTTCAAATCCTCCACCCAGCTTACTATTAAATAAATTTGAATAATTACTCTATTGGTTTAGAATCTACCTATAACAGACCTCAATGAAGACATAAAATTCATTATCAACCAATCCGATATAATGCATCTCATCATAAAAATATATTGAGATCTTATTAGAAACTAATATATAAAAACAAAATAAAATCCTTAACAAATTAATATTAGCAGATATTTCACAATTTTTAATATTTTTATTGTTTCAATTATCATATTATATTTCTTCTACTATTTAGAATCCTTCTAATTTAGCTTCCACCCATGTGGCAACTTTTTTATTATTAATGTAAACCCCCTTGAATATTCTGTAATTTTAGCTGTTAAAGTTCCCATGAAAATCATTACATAATTCAATCCATGAACCAATCTTGATACCAAACTCAATTTCATCATATAATCCACCCCCACTAGAATTTTGATTTAAAAAAGATATTTACATTTAAACAAATTCATTTTGATTCCAAAAATTATACAATATATCCCATCTACCAACTTTTCTACCATAATGATAATTTCCACAATGAATGATTTAAGAATCCCAATGAAAAGTTTGATTTTCCTCATACCATTTCCCAAATTTTATCTCATCACCTTCTTCCTTATATATTCCCCCTCCGCTAAAGAATTTATAGGGTAATAGAATATATTTTACATTAAACTATTTCTTTATGTACTATGATTCTAATACCAAATGTCCCATCTTCCAACTTTTTTGCCATTTTTATAAAGACCTTCATAAGTTAATTAAGAAGAAGATGAAAACCCCTCAAACAAATCAATCCATTTCCCAATCTTAATGCCACATCCTTCTTCATCATATAATCCACCCCCACTTATGTAATAATTATGCACTTTATATTATATTTTTACATTTTTTTGTGTTCCCTAGTAATTGTATTATAAATGTCAATCCTTGTAAACCAAATGTCCCATCTCCCAACTTTTTTGCCATTTTTATAAAGACCATCATAAGTTACTTAAGAAGAAAAAGAAAACCTTTCAAAAATATCAATCCATTTCCCAATTTTTATGTCGCCTCTTTCATCATACGATCCACCACCACTAACACGAGCAGCATTAATTAAACACTTTATATTATTTTTTACATTTAGTAATTTTTTTTTGTAATAGACCAATCTATGGAAACAAATAAAATATCCCATATACCAACTTTTTTGCCATTTTTATATTGACCTCTATAAGTTACTTAATAGGAATGCTCAAATCCTTCAAAAATTTCAATCCATTTTCCAATCTTTATATCACCTCTTTCATCATATGATCCACCACCACTAAAATGCACAGTATTAATAACACCCTTTATATTATTTTTTTACATTTAAATAAATGATATATTTCTACTATTTACTCTATACCCAATATTCCATTTACCAACTTTTTTACCATTTTGATATTCCCCATTGTATATAACTTGATAATCAGAAAAGAATCCTTCACTCAACTCAATCCATATACCTTACTTTTGGCCTTATTCATTATACGCGCCTCCATCTCTTATTGAAATTAATAATTTTGTACATCTTCTAATTCTCATAAATATATTTTCAGTTTCCTTTCCTTTTACCTTGAACATATTCGCCAACTTCATAAACTTTAGCTTTACTATGAAAATATATACAGTTCTTTACTTCCAATAATTACAAATTAGATCTCTCCATTTGCCATCTTTTTAACCGTCATTATTATAATGTCCCCCAACATCTTTAAGAAATTCCCCATTCCACTAAATTGACCATCTTCCAATTCTTTTTCCTCTTTATCCAAATTCACCAATCCATTGAAGATATTTAATTTATTCAAAGTTATTTAGTACCTAAGGTTGTTTGGTATCATCTTTTATATTATCACTATTAAAGGATGGTTTAGATATATTATTACATTCTTAAAATAGCACCATTTTTGGTGTACATGATATTTTGATCTTTTGTAAATGTTATTTAGTAATTGTTTGAAAAGAATTCTTTTTTCTTATAATTCCAAACCCAACCTTGTATTTCCTAAGTTTTTTCTTTCCATTCAAAAAATGAACTCATTTATTTTAATAATTAATTAAATCAAATTTTATTCTACTTGAATAAATTACTATTAATATGGAATTCCTCCAATTCTTTTTAATTGTTGATATAAGGTAGGGATTGTAGTTTATAAGTATATTACAAAATAATATCTTTTAACTTTAATTTTATCTCCAAATAAATAGAGCCAACTGCAATTTATTTAAATATCATAAAATAAGTTCCATTTAATTGTTTTATCGCTAGAGTGAAAAAAAAAAAAAATTTTCACTTCTTAAATCAATAAAAATATGAGACAAATTTAATTCTAAGATCAATTAAAAATAGGGTAGAAAACTATTTTAAAGGGCTTTTTAATAATTAATACATCAATGAATTGTTGGGTGTGCATAAGTTATGAATATTAAGATAATTATGAAAAAATACTTAATGATAAATTAATGAATTATAAAATATATTTAGTATAATTAAACATTATTGTCAAAAGAAATATTAATGAGTCACTTTTTAATATATTAATTATCAATTCTAATAACATAAATTATTTATGAATGATTCATTCATTTTACTAAAATAATCATAATTTTCCATTTATTATTAATCTGGTTTTACCTCAAGGGTTTATACACAAATTTTTTTTATTTTGACTTACGGTGATGTAAAATATTAATCTATCCTTTATAACTTGAAAAATTCTATACATAATTCAGGAACTATCTTTTTATTATTTAAAGAGAAATTTCCATTTTCATTTTATGCTTAGATATGAACCATTACAGATTACATTTCGTTTGATATTAACAGCTATCTTTACAGTTAATTAAATATCTGAGCTTACCAAAAAGGCATTAATAATTTAAAAGGTCTTCAGATTTTGAATTAATAATTTCCTATTCTTAAATCATTAAAAAATCTGATAATTCAACTCTTTTTTAACTTTTTTGAAAGAAGCAGTCATATCTATCCCAAATCTGTTTATGTTAAGAGCCAATGTCTCTTTTCAAGTATATCTAATTGTAATCTCCAGTAATAAGCCTTCTCGCGATTATTTCCAAATGTTTATTTGTTCAATTATCAAAAACTGATCAAAAGTTTTAATTCATCCAATATGCTTCATGTGTTTTTCCTTTAAAAAAAAGTAACTTTATTTCTCAATTTATATTATTATGGCCACAATTGTGTTTAAAATTTGAAGGGGAAGATAAAAAATAATATTGTTTACTCAATGAAAAATATTATGATGGCAAAAAAATATAATTATNAAATGAATTGAAATTCACACGAATTAGTCTATCTTAAAAGATAGATTATAAAATTATAATTTCAATTTTTAAATCATACTCGAAAACAGGATTTGAAATTCTCAATAGTTATAAGAATAAAATACTAATGAAATTTAATAATGAAGTCTTTTTATTTTTGTGAAAATTATGAATTTGTATAATATGATAATTTAAAAAGTATCCTTTTTTACATAAATAAATTACTCTATAAAATAAATATATAAATTGATATGTATATATTTAATTTTTTTTTAGTTGATTAACTATTTTGTAAATTTTTTACACCATTATAAATTACTTCTTTTGGTTTCTTATCTAATTACCCTTGTTTATTATTTCCTTAAGAACTTTTTTAATCAAAGTCATTAATACCAGAAAAAATTCTTTCATAATTCATTTCTTAAAATTAATAATCTAGAATTAACCACGCAAAACAGACATTAATTGTTTTAAAAAGTATTTTTAGATTGTTAAAAGGAGAAAAAAGATAATAATATAATTATCTAACCAAAAGATTTATGCATTTGCTAATAGAAATGAAATAAACTAAAATTAATATATAAATTTGAATAAAACTTGTCATTAACAATTAAACATAAAAATTTGAGGTTATAAATCAACTAATTCAAATAGGAACTTTCATAATATCATAATGATGAAGTTAATTTCTGTAATATTTTTCATGAAACAAATTCAAGTATTTTTAGATGATAAAAACATTATTTAGATATTAAAACATTTAAAATTAAAATTTACTAATATTAAATTTGATCTAAGTATTCTAGAGTTAACTATTCTATTGGCATGGTACATTAAACCTATCTTTTAAAAAGTTAACCATAAATTTTAAGTATTTAGAATTTATATCTTAAAACAATTTAAAAACATGTTTTTTAGAAATAAAGTTGGATGGTAAATTACAATCATTTTTACAAGTTCCATTCTCTATATGTAATAATTTTACATTTGATTTAAATTTGATTCCATCAATTTATCTAAGATTTAAATTCCAATGAATTATATATATCTCAATTTAAGTAATACTTGCTTAGACATAGCCTAACATAGATATGTTAAATAATAAAAAATATTATATAAAAGAAGATTCTTTTTAATTCCTTAATAATGATTTATTAGGTTAATAAAAATGGGAAATAAATCATAAAATTCCTGTAAAGCTCAAATAAATGAAACAAAATATACAGCTGCATTAAACTTATTTTATAATAATATTTAACTATTCTCTTTAAGAATATACAAATAATATTAGATTATAAATATCAAAAGATTATAGAATAAGATATTTAGTTATTCTATGTATTCTGTAGATCATTCGTATCCCATTTACCAATCTTTAAACCATTTTTATATTAACCATGATAAATTACTTCACTTTTACTAATTAATGAAAATAAATATTGATTACTTCCAGAACACATTATTTAAATCTATCCATCTACCATTTTTTTAGCCATTCTCATCATATTATCCTCCACCACTAAATAAATAAAAGTATTTTACATGATTTTGTAATTAGAGTCTTTACTTTTATATAAAATATTCCATAAACCAATCTTATTACCATTTTTATATTCACCATTATAAACGATTTAATTCTAACTAATAAATTAATAATAAATCAATACTTCCAAACGCTGTCATTTAAATCTATCCATTTTCCATCCTTTTAATCTTATTTATACAAACCCCCACGTACATCAAATAATACTAATTAATAAATTTTCAAACTTTCTATTTTTAATGATTTTATTCTCCACATACGTAAATTTCTGTTTTATTTTAATAAATTTACCTCCAATAATTATTAATTAGTTCGTTCTACAGCCCTGACAATATTCCATCTTTAGAGTACAATCTATTAACAGCTTCTAAAGTTTTGCCCTTCCATATTGTAATCCATCTTCCAATCTTCTTTTCATTTTTCTCACATTAACCTTACCATTAAAGTTGTCTAATCTATTGAAAAATATTAATTAATTTGAATAAAAAGATTTTATTGGTTATGATCTATATATTACATAGAATAATTCAATATCCTATTCTACCAATATACTCCTCTTATGTTAATTATATTAACTAGTATAATGAATATTCTTGATGAGAATAGTCAAATATTAAAATAAAATTATTTTAGGGCAGCTTTATATATTGTTTCTTTTATTTGATCGTAAAAGAATTTTCTAATTATTTTACAATTTTTATTAACATGATAAATCATTAAAAAGGAATAAAAAAAGAATTTTCTTCTAAATATAATATTTTCATTATTTAATATATCTACGTTTATCATCCAACTTTAATTCAAAAATTCATGTCTTTACATGTTAAAATATATAAATTCTAAATACTTGCAATATTAGATATGATATCATTTTAATTTAAATTAAACTCCATGTTCTTATCTATATCTAGTTTATATTTATATTACCTTGATATTTTTAACATTATATATTTACATGTCATTCTTATTTTTAAGTAAAAGAATGCTCTTCTTCTTGTTATATTTGGCAGGAAATAATTCATCATTTGGATCAGCATCAACATCAGAAAGATTTTAGTTTTAGTATAATATTCTCCATTTTTATTAAGAGTGTATTTATAAAACAAATTATAATATTAGGGTTGAAAAATAATTTCCTTTATTTATAGAGCATACTCTTAAATCAAAATCCATTTAATATTAAAACATTAAAATATCATTTTAACACTAGATTCTAGCATTGATAAAGACCAAATTGGAAAATCATTTCCTTCAATACTTTTTGAACAAATCCATTAAGATTTCTTCTAATTCCAGAATTTATAGTTTAATCATGACTGCTAGTCACTATCCAATCTTCAAAACTAGGTGTAATTGTTAATCATAAAATTCTAGTGCTATGTTAAGTTAATCTTTAAATAAACTTCTAGCTTGATAATATCTGTTTTGACAAAATGATAATACTATTATCAAAAGAAGTTGAAATGATATTTTAACTTATTTTTAAATAATTTACAGCGGTTATTATATCTTAATGGTTGGTAAATTATCTCAAGTATTTTAATGTTCCATAATTAAAGGAATATACTTCTAATGAACCTTAAATACCAACAAAAAGTAGAGTGTTTAAAGTATTAAAAGTAAAAGCATGAAATTTTTATTCTTTTTTAAATTAAGATCATATTGGCTCAAAATTATAATTCTTAGAATTCGATTACTTTATTTGAACATTTGCAATTAATATAATTATTATAATATAAATATTTCCATTATTATCTAAAATTGTGTAAAATATATAATCTATTGAATTTTTAAGTATTTATGTTTTGAATAAGTTTGAATAAAATTATTTTTAGTTATCAAATAACTGAGATATTATTTTATAACATAATGCAATTCAATTTTCTTGATACTTTCTAATCTATATTTGTCTTGTTTTACAATCCCAAGTAGCTAGATATTCACCATTGTAACTTAATGTTCCAAAAACAAAATAATGATTAAAATTGATTGATTATACAAAAACAAGTTCTTAATTTAAATTATTTTGTAT